TTTTTCCCCAGAGAGGGTTGGGGAAAAAACGACCAGGAACGGGGCCTTCTCGGTGGTGGCAACAGTCCTTCTGGATTCGTTGCCTGTAGAACGTTCGCCCAGGCTTCCTCCGTTCTGGCCTTCAAGAAGCAGATTAAAGCTGAGCTCATTAAAGAGGCTTTCAGGAACATCCCCGCTCTGTGAGAGATTTTTTTTTCCAACTCATTACAGGCAAAGTTTTGTTTGCTTTAGCTGTTGCCTTTCGAGAGCTTTCTTGTTTTTATTAGGTTTTACAAAAGAATAAAAATGGTGGTTCTGTCTGCTTTTAACTGTTTTAAACCATCTGGCTTGGGTGGTATAAATAATGCAATTAGTTACTGAATTACTTTATTATTTACGACTTTTAATTTATGTCCCGCCCCATTAGTGCAGGCGTACTATTCTGGGCGGTTTTTACAAGCCACCAAAGCCAATATAAAAATACAATAAACAATAAATAACAAGTAAGATGATTTGGGGGGGGCGTTCCTCAGGGGGGGAGGGGGCTACATGGAGTAGTCTAGCCTGAGAGAATCTGGTGGGTTGAGCAGCAGAAGCCCTTCGGGGGGGGGGAGACACGCTCATAAGTAGCGTGGTCCAAAATGAATTCATTTTGGGAGGAGTTCGACCCCATTGTCCTTTCCTGATTTCCCCCCACCTTCAAAAAAAGTCTTCCGATTTCCTGTCCCTCAGCTCCAACGAGACTCTCTCCTGCGTGATCATCTTTGTCATCGTCTACTATTCGCTGATGTCCGGCGTGATCTGGTTCGTCATGCTGACCTACGCTTGGCACACCTCCTTCAAGGCGCTGGGGACCACCTACCAGCCCCTGGCGGGCAAGACCTCTTACTTCCACCTGGTGACCTGGTCCATTCCTTTTGTTCTCACGGTCGCCATCTTGGCCGTTGCCCAGGTAACTCCGTTGGACCCTCACCTGGGTGGGCTTGGAAGAGGGGAGTGGACCGCGTCCCACAATAGGAAGGGCCCACCTTTCCTTCTCATATTAGAGAGAAAGCAAGGCGATAGGCTGGTGACTCCGGCGTGGTGGGAACAAGAAATCTGCTCCGGGATCCATCCAAACCTTGCAGTGCTGTCCCTGGTGCTGAACCCTGTTCCTCAATCCTTACCTTGAAGAGCAGCCTTCAGATTCAGATGAAAACCCGCCAGAGATTATCCTCACCACCATTTTGGACTGGCCAGCCACAGCGGCTTATATTTATCCTAGAACAACATCTTGGCTCTCCTTTAAAGTGAGCTGTGGAAGTGGTTCAGGTCCTTGGCGAGATTAAAAAGGGGCACAAGGGTTTCAGGCTTTGATAGGACTCTGGGAAGTGCTGTGATGTTCTCAAGAAAGAAAAGGGGGAAAAAAACAAAACAGAAACAGCAGAACAAGAACAGGCAGCGCAGGAAGCAAAATATGCCGTAGAAGTGATATTTCTTACAGTGCGGCGACAGATTATTTTCCGAACCAGTTCAAAAGATTCATGGAATGAAATTACTCTTCAAAAGTTGCTTTCCAAGTTCTGGATTAGCTGAAATAAATTGCTCTTTGTGGATCCTGAGCTTCGTGGCGCAGTGGTTTAACTGCAGTACTGCAGCCGAATCTCTGTTTATGAGCCAGGGTTCAATCCCAGGCAGCCGGCTCGAGATTGTGTCAGCCTTTTATCCTTCCAAATTCAATAAATTAACTGCTCTCTGTCTGTCTGTCTGTCTGTCTCTCTCTCTCTCTCAGGTGGATGGTGACTCGGTCAGCGGGATCTGCTTCGTAGGATACAAGAACTACCACTACAGAGCAGGTTTTGTCTTGGCTCCCATCGGCCTGGTGTTGATCATTGGAGGTTATTTTTTGATCCGAGGTGGGTTTCTTACCATTCTTCCCAGTCCCACTTAATTCAGCTAGCCTTCTGCGCTGATCCCCAGAGAGCTCCAGATGTGGTGGCCACGTGGTGGAGGCCGCATGCTTGCAAGAAAAGCTATAGCGCCTCCCTTTCCGTGTGCCTGCGATGAGCTTCCCTCCGGATTCAGGGTGCACAGATCAGCTCTTGGTGATGTAACAGAATCCCATACGTGGACCGGTGGGAAACAGGAGTCATTTCTGTGAATAACGATTTGCAAATACGTCCGGTTGTCTAGGACACTTGAGCAAGAAAAGCGCTCCCCTCCTGTTAATTAGCTAATGCTTACAATTCAAACACAGCTCAAACATTAAGTGGTGCCGCTTTCCAGGCAGCCCCCCCTTTAATTTTCTTGGTAAGAAAGTGGGTTTCTTCCCAGTTTTTCAAACCATCGTCCCGCTCTTTCAGAGTCCAGAATCCTTCACAGAGTCGTAGAATGATTCAGTTGGAAGCGCAAACTGTTAAAGCCATCGAGTCCAACCGCCTGTTCCAGGCAGGGATCTCAAGCCAAAGCAGATCGGACCGAGGGTGGTCCCATTTTCTCCTGAAGGCCTCCAGCGTTGGAATACTGGCAGCCTCAGAGAGATTTTGTTTTACAAAACTGGTCCTCCGTCCAAGGCCAACTTTTATTACACCAGAGAGTCAAGCGAGGAAAAAGGCCACTTTTCCCCATGAGGTCTAGAATCTTAGTGGATTTCTTCTTCCTTTCAAATGGCCAGTGTCGCTGCGAATTCAGCGCTCCCAAACTGTCGCAACACGAAGTAGAAACTCATCTCCCCCTGCTGCTTTGTTTTGGGAAAGCGTTGGCCTGTTCTCCCCCCCGCCCCGCCTCTCCTCGCCCCACTTCATAACTGGCGGTTTCTCTCTAGGGGTGATGACGCTGTTCTCCATCAAGAGCAACCACCCGGGGCTGCTGAGCGAGAAGGCGGCCAGCAAAATCAACGAGACGATGCTACGTCTTGGTAGGTAGGACAGAAGCGTGCGGATCTCCTCGCCCAGCAGCCTGGCGGGAAACAGGGTAGCTGGGTCTTCGCAGGTTCCCTCAATCCTCCAGGTGAGCCGCCAAGGGAGGGAGAAGATGATGGCTAGCTCAGTAGAGAACCATGGCATCTGGAGACAGAAGACCCCGGCCTCTCTCTTGGGGACATTTCTGACAGGGTTGTCCAGGAGGGCACCTGGCATGCCCCTCCCTCGGCCTCCCAGTCGAAAGAAACCCCCCACGTTGTAGAGGGGACCACGGTTGGGCTCCTAGGTTCCCTCCAGAAGGGTTGGGCTGGCCATTTCCACCATTCCTAAATAGTTGGGGATGATGGAGAGAGTGTCATCCATCTCCTTGGAAAGGAGGTGCCTGCTGGGTTGCAGACGGTGGATGTGATGCCTCTCCCGAAACTTCAGGTGCAAAGGTGGAAGGAGCAGGCCAGGTTGAATCTCCTCGTCCGCCGCCCAGCGCCGACCGGCCACCCACCACGTCCGCTGGGGTTCTCATGGGTGAGGGTGGTGGGAGTGAGGAAGTTCTCGGCTGCTTCCTCCTCTCCTCCT